GAAATTGAATGCATTTTTTGTGTCTAATTAATGTAGGCAAGTGATCCATTAGTGTTGTTTGCCATATTGTTTTTAATTGTCCGATCTTTGCTCATGTTAAAAGGAAGGGGTTTAGTTTTATTCCATTAATCCATAGGTTTGCTGCTGACTTTTCTTAGTTGATGTGGATTTTTTATGTTAAAACAATAGCTTAAGTGGACATTATTTTATGATTAGCATGACTTGGACTTTTGTATCCGTAGAATTTGTACTCCTTTACCTAAATCTATGTTGTTAGTTCAATCAAGTTAGTTCAAGTGTATTAGTTTAGACACTGCCATGATAATTTGTCTTAGGCACACTATCACTCTTGTTATTTTGAGTGGTAACTCTTATCACTCTTTCTTTGCATGTGAAATGTGCCTCGAGTTTTTTTTGGACTCTCATCTCCTATCCTTGCATCTCCTATTGAGTCATCCCCCTGTATATTCGGAAGCTATTATAGGTCCCAGAGACCCAACACTGCTGGAAATTAGTTCATAAATGGTCAAAAGCCCAAGAAATGGTCTGTATACATTTTGTATACAGCAGTATACACTCATTATACAGTGAATTACAGGTTAAGAATGTGAAAATACAGAGATGAGGTAAAATACAGGGGTTTGGAAGCAGGAGATACACGAAAGAGCTGATATACATGCCGATATACACTGATATACATCACATGTATACCAAAAACGGGTTTTGGTTAAACCCCAAAAAGTAGCAACGAATTTGGCCCAAGAAAGGTTCAAATTCAACTTATCTCCGTTACTCTTAAATTATTTAATTGTGATTACTTATTATTTGTTGTTTAACTCTAACTTTAGAATTTTTAATTAACTTAATTAGATTCCCCAAAAGATGAGTTATTTTATTTGTGTTGGTTTAATTTTAATATATTTCATGTTGTTGTGTTCACTTATTTTATTAATCAAATATTGGTCGAATTTTATATTTTAATTAAGTTAAATCTTTGTTCTTAAAAAGATATGTTTTAAGGCCGCTTCACTTGATCACATATTATTTTTTAAATTGTTTTAAGTTAAAGTATTTTTCTCAAATAAATTTTAAAAAAATGTTAGTCAAATTTTTTAATTAATTAATAAATAAATAAATACTTACTTAGTCATTTACTCAAAAGTTAGTCAAAACTTTTATTCTTCAATTAATTTAAAATGATTTTCATGTTTTAATGTGTTAAATTGGTTTAATTTATTTTAAAATGAACTAAATAAATTCTAATTAGTCTAGTTTTATTAATTTTCTAATCACTTGCACCTTAATTCAAATATTTTCATTTTAGGTCTCTTCCTCTAAAAAGATAGAATAAAATGGTTCATTTCTTAATTATTTTCTCAAACTTAATCGAATAGTGTAAATTATTATATATTCTTTATTTTAAATTATTTTTTCTAAAAAATAGTCAAATACATTTTAGTCAAGTCGCAGGTCAACCGTATGTTAGCGGACACTTCGAATGCTTAAACCCTTCTCGAAGTGTAAATTGAACCCCGAACCCTCTTTGGTATTTTCAAATGATTTTTTCTGTTTAAATCTTTGGAAATTATAAGTTTTCTTAATTTCTTTAAAAAATTAAGTGGTGACTCTTTTCTAAGTATTTTTCTCCAATTGTTTTATACTTAGAACATTTCAAAAAGTGATTTTTCTAAAGATAGGAAAATTACGGCACAACATTCACTAGTGAAAGTGAATGATGGATTTAAAGGTAGATTGTTGGATGTCATTTGCATTGTAGGTTAAAACTTTTTTGTCCTGTAAGATCAACTAGAGGCTCTGATACCACTGTTAAAATAGAAGCACTCAAGAAACTGATTTAAAGAATAAAAACATAGTAAACTTATGAAATTTCAGCTATATATTAATTTTAAGAAATACTGAATTTATAAAAGGAAAAAACCTAACAATTTCTTATCTGGTAGCCACTTACAGAGTGGATGTTAAAACTGAATAAGAACATGTGCCACTAACCGCCATAAAAGGGGCCACTAACTTTAGAAAGTTAAGCAACTAAAGTTGACTAAGTCTAGCTAGAAAGTAGGAAGCACTAAACTGAAGTTAGTAAAAAACAGTAAAAATAATAAATTGAAAAAAAAGCCAATTGGCTAACAATTTTCACATTAGCGACAACTCCTCCATACATGTCATTCTGACACTTATGTATTCAATACAAATTTGTAATTCTGCTCCATAAGATCTTTGATTGTGTGTACCTTAGCTAAGTCAATGAACACCATAGGTAGGTAGATCTTTTCTTTTCGTGATAATTAAATTTTCATCAATCTTGTTCATTGTATTAGATCTACAGGACATAAATCCAAATTGATTCTTTATCATTCTTGTCATAATCCTAAATCTACACAATCTACCAATCTTTCTCACAGAGTTTCATGTATGACGTATGAGTTTAATAATATTACAATCGTTCGCATAACTTTGAATATGTAAATTTTTTTCAATTAACAATATAATCAATCTATTATTTAAAAATTGAGAAATTGATCTTATATATAAGGTCTTATTAATTCTACTTTTGAGAAACTTCTATTTAGCTATGATTGAAAAGATTTACTTGTCATTATTCATTAATAAATAAATTACATGATTTGTTGTAATATTCCCCTTGTTTGTGACATCATCAAGATTCATATTATAACTTGCATATGGACAGGTAAAGCCTTTTTAACATTGTTAGGATGATGTCATTCCAGGAATTAAGGACAAATCATATTTCCAGAAGTAGGTGGTTTTTGATAGGGACGATTTGATGAAATTTATGACCTGAAGCCAAATTATAATAAGAGTCTTCTAAACTTATTTCATAAGAATTCATATACTAAGATTAGTAAGATACACAAAAGAACACGACTTAAATATTATTTATGCATTAAACAAACGAGATAAAGAAAAATTACTAAGTCATAAGAGTTAGGTGGATGATTTATTTAATTTGTAGAAAATCTTGATTGGGAACTAAGATATCAAATTAAACTCTTATGTTTTATTCTAAGATCACAAGCTAAATTAAATCAAATCTATTTATAGTAAAATATTGCAAATCTTTATGATCACTATATACTATATACATTATTATTAAATGCATGAGTAACATGTCTTTGCAGTTACATACATATGGACAGTTAACAAGTTGTTATTAATGATGAATCCATATAATTCAAAGTGCAATAAATTAGTACCTAGATATGTAGTTGCACCTACTGAACATGAATGTGATCTTCACAAAAGTACATGCACAAATGGGTAAGGAAGATATGTCAGGATAAGAAGATCAACTAAACTACTTCTTTAAATAAACAAGTACTGGAGGTGGGTGGCTGTAATTATATAAATTAGACATAGTACATAAACATGACTCTTAACTTGGCGTCAGTTGGCAACTATGATCCTTAACTCTAGATGTGCACAAGTAGGCACTTAAACTTGTATAAAATTGAACAAATCCCTACTGGCACCCTACATGGAAAATTTGTGTCATGCATGGCATCCTACGTGTATCATGTCATGTAGGACACGTGTGTCTACTTGTTCAATTTTATACAAATTTAAGTGCCTAATTGTGCACATCCAAAGTTAAGTGTCATATTTGCCAACTAACACCAAATTAAGGGTCATATTTGTGTATTATGCCAATAAATTATAATGTATTGTTAAATCAAGAAAAATCTTTCATCTTACATGTTGGGTAACGTCAACATCCTGCCTATTGCAAGTCCACAAGAGGTTAAGTGGCTTAGGTCAGAGTCATGATCGAACATGACGCTTACATGGTGGAATTAGTTAAGAAAGAAAGTTACGCTTTTACTATCAGCAATACCTTTCGGCATGGTGATAATCGTTTGATCCTAACATTACCGCCACAATTTTGGGAGAGCCACAATTTACAAGGGTTCACATACTCCATATTTGCATTGTACAACCCCCTGATCTGTAGCATCATGCAAAGTAAACCTTTCATTACTAATCCTAACAATAAGTATGTCCAACTAATATCATACACTCTCTTTGCTAGTAGTCCCTTTGTATTCCCTCTGTCCCAATATAATAATTCACTTTTTTTTAGCTGATGTTAAAATAGAGGTGTATTCAGGATTTTGAGAAGATGTATGTATTTATGTTAAAAAAAATGAATCTAAGATATAAATTTGACCGTTTTGATCTTTTCATTCTTATCGCTGAACCTGCTAAACTTTTAAAGATATAATAGTATGTACTATATATTTAAGTAATTTTGTGCATGTAATCAAATATCCAATTAGGATAGTACTTCTACAAATGGATTTACCAATCTTTTTAGTCCATTTCAATTAAAAAATGCCTCTTTTGTTTTTTGGAAGTTATTTAGTTTATTTTTAACGTGACATGTTTATCCACAAAATTAAATGATATTTCGGTATATTCCACATGTATTTTATTTAAAATCACAAAATTCAAAAAAATTCTTTACTTTCACAAAATTAAATTACTTAAAATTTCCCATCCCTTTTTTCTTTGATGTGGATACTTCCACCTCACCTCACGACCCATGTTGGACATCTGATGTGTGAGCAACTTAATTTGGAAGCCCAATATCGATACGCAATTATTGAGATGGGACTTGCTTTGGTACTTTGTAAAAAATTGAATATTGCGCTAGCTTTGCTCAACCGTAAAAGCTAGTCCATGAGCTGAAATGGAACCAACCATCCCTTTTTCATTAGATGTGACACTTTTCAACAGGCATTGACTTTAATTTCTAAAAACCTTATGCCCCACTGGACATAAGTTTCAGAGAAAAAATTATTTCAAAACGTGTGAATTGAAGAAATGAAATACAACAATTAGACTAGTATAAATATAAAAAGTAGCAACAATTTGTTTTTTTCAACAACACATACACATGGATCCTCATGAATACATGCCTCTTTTACTTGTTTAAGCTCCATGAGAACCCTAACAATACTACACATGATTTGACATCTTGGTTAGTGAATCAAGGCACATCAATTCTTCACAACCTTAGAGCATTGGTTATGAACAAAGTCCTTAACCTCAAGAATAAGTTGTGTAGCTTCAGGAACCTCAGGGAAAATGTAGAAAGCATGCACCATAGTTGGATACTCTGAGAGGTGAACATCTTTGCCAGACCTCTTAAGCCACTCATAGTACCTCCTTTGCCAATCTTTAAGGGGATCAAAGCCACCCACGACTACCATCGTTGCTGGAAAATTGTCCAGCTTTGATATGTCAACAGCCCTTGGACCGCAAACATTAATAACCTCATGATCGCGATCCATCCCTTCACCTGGTGGCAGGAACGCGTTCCACATCCAATCTGTTCTTCTCACTGATATCAATGCGTCAACTTCTACTAGTTTTAATTCTGATTCCGTTCGCTCCTCCCCTCCAAAAAAGGGTTGTATAGCCACCAGTCCAATTACCTAGAGCACATAATAATACAGAATCAGGGGAATTTGTCCCTAAAGTTTAATATGCATAGATTTTGGGTATATACATTTTTAAAAGTACCACTATTTCATACTAGTGAGTAGTGACATTCAAAATAAATACTCAATTTGTTTGTCTTACTTTTACTTTTCTTTTTACCATGTAATTTGTGGGTGTGGCGAGAAGTCTATAATTAAAATCATGCATGCAACCAACTGTAACGTGAAAAAGTGGAGAGGTGGTAAGGTTTGATTGTCAAAGGAAGAAAATTATGTACTAGACCTCTAGAAAAATTAATGATTGAGATTAACTTTCTCACGAATTATTATGTTTTGTTTAGAGGGCACATGTCTATTTATTTTTTCAAAAATAGATACTGAGCCACTTTTGTTCAATTCCTCTCTTTCTGAGGAATAATTGGTTAATATAATGATCATCTGCTAGTATGTTTCTTTGTACTAACATAATTACTAATTTAATTTTTAATATTATATTTGGTTATATAAATGTAATTATTAAATTAAATATTTTTTTATTTTAAAATAAAATTTAATTTTACAACCACCCCATCGAACTCTGTAGGCCGGATTTGAATTTTGGATTTTTCCTGAACTGGACCAGTCTGGCCCCTCCTTATACCTAATTTCATTTAGCATGATGAATTTATAAATAAGCTCTTTAAATACTTCTGACAAAATATGCTCCTATTACCTTTAATAATATTAATGGTGCCTGCTAAAAAGTCTTAACTTCAACAGTAGAATTTTATTAATGTCAAACAAACTACTCCTTTGTGAAAAATGTGTAGAATTTCTACTTCTAAGTTCTAAACGCAAATAAAAGTTTTTTACATTAATGTATTGAACGAAGTTAAATCACTACAAAGTCAGTAGTTATTAAGCCAAAGAAATTGAACTAAAAAACGCACTAATAACTAAACCCAAGATAACTTTGAATGCTTAAAATAAAAATAGAGATAATTATGATATTTTGTTTCAAGTATTAGGAAGCGCTTAATACTTTACTTTTATCCAAACCAGAAAAAAGGAGAAATAATATGTTGGAAAAGACCAGAAAAAAGGAGAAATAAGGCGGAGAAAATAACTGTTTGGTGAGGGTATGGTAGAAAAGATATTAATGAAAATAAAGAAATATGATAGATAAAGAAAGATGACTGTGTGGGTATGGATTGTGGAGGAAAAAACAATAAAAATAGAGGAATATTATGGAGAAAATGATTGTGTCGGGATGCTTTTAATTTGTCAAAATCTTATTTTGAGTTACTTGGATAAAAAAAATCACATGTCATTTGGTCATTGGTTACTCTCTTTTTTTTTTAATGTATTTTTTTCGGGCTTTAAATGAGTTGACATGATCTAATTTCATATTTAATCTATAATTAACACCTACTTAGAATTTAGGAGATTGTAATAAAATGACAAAATGTTAGTATATTGTGTCTAAAACAATTAAATATCTAAATAAAAATTGATATAAACGATGTTTCGGTTTTTATTGAAAATGACACAATCAATAAAAATTTAAAACGACAGAAAAGTTAGGCAATACATAAATTAGTGACGTGACAAATGTATATAGGCATGGAATATGAGTGGAAAAATGGAGAGAAAGAGGGACCATACCTTCAGTGCATCAAAGGTCGACGTCATTTCAGATGCTCGCTTAGCCACGTGATGAGCGAGGTTCCCGCCGGCACTATCTCCGGCAAGGAAGCAGCGAGACAAATCGACATTTTCCGGCAATAGCTCACGGTTCTTCTCATTGTCAAGGAATTTCAGCACATCAAATCCATCATCATACTGCGCAGGATACTTGTGTTCCGGAGCTAGCCGATAATTAACAGAGACAACAACAGCCGGGGTTTTCCTCGCGAAACGGCGGCAAACGGCGTCGTACGCCTTTGTATCCGGGCTGAGATACACAAATCCGCCGCCGTGAAAGAAGACGATGATCGGAAGTGAACTCAAATTCCGAGATTCATCTGTAGTTGGAATGAAGAGGCGAAACCAGAGATCGCGAGAAGAATCTACACTGACGTCGTAGGATTTAACGCCGTTAACTGGATTTGGATTGGCGGAAGTTTTAAGGCCGAAGATCCCGAGTAGCCGGCGGTTAACGGTGCCGTTTTGACGACGAGAATAGTCGGTAATTGTAGAGACGAAGGATAGTGCAATTCGTGTCCTCCAAGGAATTCCCGGAGATGGTTTCTTCTCTTGTTGCGCCATAGATGATGAAAGAAAAAAACGGAGAGAAATCGTGATGTGTGGAAGCAGAAAAACAGTTGTGAAGAAGCACAATAAGTAAGATTTAAGAGCCTGTTTGGCCAAGCAGTTGGGGAGTCCAAAAAGCAAAAAAAAAAAAACAAAAGGTATTTACTTTTTTAAGAAATGAGGTGATTGACAAATTAGTGAAATTACTTTTTAATAAAAATAGAAGCCGTTTTTTTAGGTTGGAAAGAAGAAAAAAAATCAATATAGAAATTTTAATTTTTATTTTGAAAAATAGGTGAATCACTTTTTTTAAAAAGTAAAAAATAAAAATTGTGGGATAAGCTCAACCCGCCCCACACGACTCCATTGCCATTCCTATCCCCCAACTTAGGTTACATGCCCACGTTGAAAATAAATGAGTCACTTATTTATTTATTTTTTAGTGTTTGATAAGTAAGTAAGAAAATATTATTTTAAAGACATTTACATCATAGGGGGATCCAGGATTTAGAGTCTTTGGGTGCCAAGTAGACTCATAGACTAAATCAACTTTATGTTTGATTTGAATTATTCGTCTTTTTCGATCTATGTGACAACTCAATCAATAAAATAGGATTAAACAACAATTATAAAAAAAAAAGAGCTTGTAGGCTATTTACGAAAAAAAATTATGGTAATTGAGGGCATCACATAGCTTGAATTTCAAGAATAAAAAGATATCATATAAATTGAGAGAGTATGTATATATGTAGGAGTTTGTGGATGATTTTCGATTTTGGGTTACATGAAAATAGTACCAAGACTTATATAATTATTTGTCAAGATTATTGATGATCTTTTCGTTATATTTTCTTGTTGGAGAATATTTAATGCATTTAAGTGTTTATGAAATTATGAAATTATTGAGAAGAGAAAAAAATAAAATTATACCCTTTTCGTTTTTTGTATTAGTTAATAACTTTTTTTACGCATTCTTTAAATAATTGTTAATAAAAATGATAGTTTACTATTTTACTCTTTAAGTTAATTTTTTACAAATTTTGGTTACACTTTCAAGAAAAATTAATTGTTAGTATAATGAAAATATAAAAAATATTGTTTAATTTTGTTAATTGACAAATATTTAGTAATGTAAATGATTAATATAGGATAGAAAAAAATATCAAATGTTAGAAGTGGGATGAATTAGGCTAAATTTCATACTTATAGAACTAATTAAAGATAAGGAAAGTAGCAAAATAATTTGAAATAATGGCAAAAAGAAAAAAAGAAAAAAAGAAAAAAAAAGGTCGAAACGTTGATTATGAGAGGAGCCTTAAACGTTCCAGCTGTTTTAGAAAAAAGAAAAAATTAAAATATGTTAAGCGGATTCAATCCCACACCTAAGGCTCAAGTATTCAGCCTTTTACTGCCGACACCACAAAGTACTTTTGTACTGTGGATGATACGTATATTATGTATCTATATGTTGTATATATATACCTATATATACATAAAGTTTTCATCGAAGCTTGTGGGTGGTGTGGCACCCCATCATCCTGAATAGATCTGCCCTTCATTTACATGTTATCTAGCTAAACGTTATCCAAGCGGATAAGGATAGGGAGTGGGGGAGTAGGGGTTTTGGGGCGGAGAGTATGTGATGGTCAAGAGGTGTGGGTTGTGTGTTGGCGGGAAGGGAGAGAAATGATAAATTTGAAATGTTACTTATACAACTTTTTTTTCCAAGTATCATAAGTTGATTAAATAGTTAACTATGTAATAAATAAATAAAAAGACATTTAAAATAAGGGAATTTTAGACAATTTTCATAGTGTTAAGAGTTAATTACATCATATTCCTAATCTTTTTCAAATTACAAAAAATCCTTAAATTTGGTGGAATTCGGATACATCCCAAAAGGTCCCGGTACATCGCGTCTCGATTTCTGATACATCATTCAATGCCCTGATACATCGCGTCTTGGTTTCAAATACATCACTCAACGTCTCAATACATCGTGTACATCCTTATACATCGCGTACATCCTGATACATCGCGTAAAGTGTTGTATCAGATCGATACATCGCGTAAAGTGATGTATCCGAGAATAAAAGAGAGTAGGAATTCTTGTAATTTCTCCAAATCGTGAAATTTTTTAGAAAATAAAGTAAAATAGATTGTGTATTTAAGTAATTTTTTCATATAAAACAACCAAATCTTTTATAAAAGAGAGAGAAACTTGTTGAAACATTTTACATCGAGTGGTACTTGGTACTCAAATCCTATTACACATTTATTATTGGCCCATAAAAAGGAAACCCAAAACTAAATGCATCTGGGCCTTTATACATTCGACCCAAACAAAGCCTTGACAACTCCAACAAAATCATGTTTGTATCCATATTCTGCATGGAAATGTTTTGGTGGAATAATCTTTGTGTACACATAAAAGGCTACACAACTAATAGTAGGGCCAATCCAAAAGATCCAATGTCCATCCCAAAGGTGACCTCCTCTAACAATCGCGGGCCCCAAACACCTTGCCGGGTTCATCCCTACCCCGGCGTATCGAGGAATTGACATAGAAATACAATTATTATATATAATTAGCAATATATAGCCCAATATTAATTAGCAATTAATAGTCTCAATAAAAAATAGCACGTATTAGCCTAAAAGAAAAATAACAAACTTTTTACAATTTTTTTTTAACCATGTGCAACTAATAGCATTAATTAAGGAGATGTGGGGTTATTTTTCTTTCTTGTTTTTAACTCCCATAATTAAGGAAGTTAGTTTTTCAATTTCTTTAAATTCTAAAACTCAACTTCATTTATCAGTCTATTTAAAAAATATCAACGTAATTTACAACAACATAAAGAGATAGTTGATTGTAATTTTATGAATTTTTTTTTTACAAATAGCAATAATTAGTTTATTAAAAAAAATAATTGCCTACTTTAAAGAAGTGAAAAAAATATTTATTAATTAACCAATTAAAAATGGTGACATGAACTTTTAAGGCAGGGCTTATTTTAATTATTCAATTAACTTAATAAAATATTATGACTACTTTTAAGGTAAGAAATATATTATTAATGCTTAATTAACGTGTATTAATTATCAAAATAATTGACAATAATTATTCAAATAATATTAAGAGGCAATGATTTTTATTAGATATTTTAATAACACGTATACATAAATTACACAATAATTAAAGTTGCAAGTACATAATGTATACACAAAAGAGTATTATATGTATACACAAAAAATTATTTCTTAAAAATAGGCGAGTAAATTTTATTGATGTATACAGTAATTGTAGCATGTATACATAAACTTTATAATGTATACATAGGAATATTACCAACAATTATAGGTATTAGTTATTACTATAATGTATACAAGATTACATGTATTAATTAATTTTTATTCATAAATTGTACATGTGATTTTATTTATGTATACGGTAATTGCACTATGTATGCATCAATTCGTATTCATTTGTGTATTCATTAGTTTGTATTCACCTAATAAATTTATATACTTTTATTCAAATTGAGATTGACATTCATTGGTATAAATGAATTGAGTCTCAAAATCGACATTTCGATTTCTTACGAGGATCTTACTAGAACCTTTCTTACCATGAAATTGAAAACAAAATTTTCAAATACTATAAACCTAGATTTTTGGCAAAAAAAAGCTTTAAAAACTTTAATTCCACAAATCATGAAATTTCAAAATTAATTGACAAGAAATGCTACATAATTATATATTAAAAGAAATCTTTGGGAGGATCAATTAATAAAAATATAATTTATCTGATTTGCATAAACAGAGTGAATCAAGGAGAATAAGAGAAAATTTAGAAGAGAAGCAAATATATATATGAAAAGGAATTTAGAAGAAAAAAAAAAGGATAGATAACCTAAAATTTTGTAAAACAAAATTGAAAAAACTTAATTCTACAAATCATAAAAATCAACAATAAATTGAACAAGAGCAAGATTATATATGATTTTTAGAAGTATGTATGAATAAGCATATTGTTATACGTAATTTTCATAACAGAGTGAATTAAGGAGAAGAATCGAAAATTTGAGAGAGAAAGAAATATACTATAAAAAGAATTCTAGAAAGAGAAAAATGAGACAAAAAAAGAAGAAGAAGAACTCTATTTTAAAATGGTTAACAAATAAAGAGGAGAGATAAATAGGATTGATAAAATAATCAAACGTGTTAAGAGAAAAAAAAGGGGAACAAAAAAATATTTTTTAAGAAAAATAAAAATAACTATTAAATGCCAAATAATTAAAACAAAATCTTTTTTTTGCTAAAATCTTAAAAATAGGCTATTTATTGCCAATTTAGTCTCTACATTGTCACACTGTGCCATTCTGTCCGGCGTATCCCCTTTTCGTGGTGACCGTGGTTGAGATAAACACTAGAAGGCCCAACACCAGACCAACAATGGACAAGACAGTGCCAAGGCCAAGAGCCTTGGCTTGTCGATGATCATAAGCCATCCAAATTGAAGCAAAGAGTAATCTAAAACAAATGTACAAACGATCTCAAGCCACAAGGCTTGGGCCGTCTCTAGGCTCAAAGTAACCGGCCCATTTGGGCCCGGTGCAATTACTGTGATAGTGCAACCACCAAGTGAGAAAGTGTCTTCAATTGTTGAATTAACCACTGCTTTGAGAGCTAGTGCACCTAAAACAGCACCAAGACATTGAGCCACAATGTAAATTATGGCTCTTGACATAGATATAATTCCGACTAGTGCGGCTGAGAAGGAGATAACCGGGTTGAGATGGCCTCCGGACACTGGAACAACCGTTAGGTAGGAGTGTACATGATCGGGTTGGTTCGAATTTTTCAAATATCAAATCAAACCATTTGTGTAAAAAATAAATAAATTATAAACCAAACCAAACTAATAAAATTCATGTTTTTTCGGGTTTTTCAACCTCGGGTTGGTTCGGGTTTTTCAAATACCAAACCAAATCATGGTGTAGAATTTTTAAATTTATAAATCAAACCAAACTAATAAACCTCGGATTTTTTCAGATTTTTGGATTTTTTTCGGTAAAGTTTGCATACAAACATATAATTAACTTGTGCTCCAAA